GAGAGCGAGCTTGGCATATGGGCATATATGATAATTCTCTTGAGAATGTGTTTTCTTATGTGATCTTAGATTAAAATCCAGAGAAAATGTCTGCATAAAACCATGTGAAAAATATCACAAGGGAGGGAAAGTGGGAAACAATATGCTTACTCTCTAATACACTACCTACTTATCTTAATCGCGTGCTTCAGTGCATGTTTCATGAGCACAATAGGCAAATACAGGTCTGAAACTGCTTTTCAGCTATCAACAAAAATCACAACCCCAACCACCTACACACCCAACTCTTATTTAGAAAGAATGGTTACTCACCTTACCACAGCCTTCATGTGCGCACACTAAGTGTCTCTCCCCAGTGTGAATCAGAAAATGCCTTTTTAGCTACATTTCTTAGAAATACCAAATAAAATTTGCAACCAATAAAATCTATGCCCATTCAAAACTAATTAAATAAATAATGATGATAATATCAAAAGTTCTAGTAGTAGAAGAAATCCATCTATTATTCAATTATCAGTGCCTTGGTTTTTTTACCCTTTTTTAAAGCAAAAAATGAATAGTAGCCATGTTAGGGAATAAAATGAAAACTAACCATTTAAGGCGGTAAAATGACAATTTTACCTTATTAAACGTTTTAACTACCAATTAAAACACATCTTCCTAATTCTCACTCATCATCTCCATCGGCCCCATTCCCCCACAGTAAAAGAAAAAAAAATAATTAATTCATCTTCCCAAAATTCATATCCAAAAATTTACATCCTTCCAAAATCATCTCCATCACCACCACCACCAAGTGGATCCCTTTGAAAAGAAAGGTACATAAACTTTTTGCAAATTCATATCCAAAAATTTGCAAACCTAATTTTGTTATTTTTTTAATATGTTACATAAATCATTTAATTTTGTTCTAAAAACCATTTATGAGCTTCCAGAAACATTAATTTTTCTAGAACCATTTTCTTGAACTCATACTTTTTTGGAAAAAAAAAAATCAATATTTTCGAAATTTACCAAAAATAGTTTCTTGAGCTTTTTGAAACTGTTCAAAAATCGTTTCTTGAGCTCCCAAAAACCGCTCTTGGGTTCCCAGAAATCGATTGAGCTCCCAAAAACCGTTCTTAAGCTCCAAAAGATCCTTTGTTGAGCTCCCAGAAACCGTTCTTGGGCTCCAAAAAATAATTTCTTGAGCTCTTAGAAATCGTTTCTTGAGCTCCCAGAAACAGTTTCTTGAGCTACCAGAAATCGTTTCTTGAGCTTTTAAAAATCGTTTCTGAGCTCCCAGAAACTGTTATTGGACCCCAAGAAATACTTCTTCAAAACCCAGAAATCGTTTTTGGGTTATCAGAAATCGTTTCTTGAGCTCCTAGAAATCATTTCTTGAGAACAGTTGGGTTCCTAGAAATCGTTTCTCGAGCTCCCAGAAATTGTTTCTTGAGTTCCTAGGATCTGTTTCTTTCTTGGGTAATCGTTCCTTGAACTCCCAGAAATCGTTCCTTGAACTCCCAGAAATTGAATATTGAGCTACCATGAACCAAAAATTATTTATTGGATTCCCAAAAACGATTTCTTGAACTCATATACTTTTGTCCAGAAACACATTTAAGGGAAAACAAAGTTCAAACAACTGTTGTATTAATTTTTTATTTTTTTTTTTTCAGATGGACGTTGATGATAATCGTTGCAAATTGTTCACAACAGCTTTTGTGATGGGAATGTGTAGAAAAATGGGGAGACAAAGATGAATTTTTGGTGTATTAGGACCTCATCATATGAAGCTTTTAAAAATAGAGTTCATTACATTGTTCGTGGAGAAAGAAACATGTGTGGCTCCTGATTTCACTTTTTAGTGGTCGGCGATAATGGAGAGTTGGAGAAATGGCGAAACTCTTGTGAATCAGACCTCCGAAATGTGTCTGCTATGTTCACAATACATATTATAAATGTTACACTACATTCGAAAGATAGTCCGCGTCTGTATAATCAACCGATTGTTCCAACGTACCCTTTGTATGACTATACCGATGGACAAGATGGGTTTATGAATTTTGTTGTTGCTCAGGGCCCACCTCTCTATCCATATGGTGCTTTGTATCGATCTAATGCAAACTTAGATAGTCAACCACCAACATCTCATTCAGCGAACAATGATAACTATGTAGTGTCTGACACTTGAAGGATAGAATCAAATCAACCTGGTGCCTTACGGTACTCTCCCGAACAAGTCGATCGGGGTGTGGATAGTAGGTTCGATGAGGATTTTGCTGGGAATGATGAATGTGATGCTGACAAGCAATATTCTGATGCTTTCAATAATGAGGTTAACAATGATAATCCTTATGGCAATGACAATTTTCTAGATCAGATGGATGGCAACAATGACGATTCGGACTTCATTATTGAAGAAGATGATATGCTTGTCTCGGAAGATGGTGACAACAATGTTATGTCCCCTTCGAACATGATAGGTGGTGTAAATGAGCATATTCTACGCAACTAGAAGAGTATAGCGATCCACGAAGTTCCACGGCTTAACGTTTCTAGAGGTGTTGCTATTGCAAAGGATGATTTAAATGAAACTGCTACTCGTTCGAGTAGCGATTGGATGGTCTCCAGAGCAATTTATCACAATGATGATGTTCATCCCCCATTTGAAGAGTCGTCTATGCTAGACAATGAATTATCCAAAGGCGTTGTCATTCATAGTAACAAAGAGTTGTTGATAAATTTGGGTTTCTATCAGCATTAAGAGGAGTACCTAACTCCAAGATCTTCAAAATCTCGATTAAAGGTTGTGTGCAAGCATAAAAATTGTCCATTCCTGCGAATGCATTAACTGGAGGTAGTTGGATAATTTCTAAATTGATCCATCCACATACATGTTTGGTTAACCTTAATCTTTCAGCCCCATGACAAGTGCCTTCTAAGATCATTGGAACATTATTTGAATTGTTGTTGACAGAGGGTCGAGTATTGAAGCCTACAAAAATTATGGGTGATTTAGAGCGTGATCATGGTATTAAGCTCAAATATGATAAAGCTCTCTGAGATCCCAAAATGTCGCATATGACTATATTTACGGAAATCACTCGAAATCCTGGGAAGTTATGCCTGCGTATTTCCATATGTCTGTGAAGGAAAATCCTGGAACATCAGCATATATTGAGACCGATAAAGATGATGTGTTCGAGTATGCATTCATTTCTTTTCATGCGTTGTCGGCATGTGATTGTAATTGATGGTACCCATTTGAAGGTTAAGTATAAAGACATCTTATTTGTAGCAGCTACAAATGACAAAAATAAACAAATTTGTCCGTTGGCATTTTGTATTGGCGATAAGGATGTGGTTTGATGTGGTTTCTTATCACAAATACAAAATGCCAACATAAAAATTTGTTCACTTCCGTCTTTTGTAGCTGCTATAAATAAGGTGTTTTTATACTTACCTTCAAATGAATACCATCAATTACAATCACATGTCGAGAATAATTGATTAAGCCTTCAGACGCATGAAAAGAAATGAATGCATACTCGAACAAGTCATCTTTGTCGGTCTCACTTGATGTTCTAGGATTTTCCTTCACAGACATATGAGCAGGCATAAGTTCACGGGATTTTAAGTGATCTCCGTAAATGTAGTCATAGGCGACATTTTGAGACCACAGAGTTTTAACGTATTTGAACTTAATACCATGATCACGCTCCAAGTCACTCATAATTTCTGCAGGCTTCAATATTCGGCTCTCTATCAACAACTTCAGTGCAAATAATGCTCCAATTATCTTAGAAGGCAATTGTCGTGGGGCTGAATGATTGAGGTTAACCAAACATGTATGTGGATGGATAATTTTAATTATCCAACTACCTCCAGTTAATGCATTCGAATGGACAATTTTTTATGCTTGCACACAACCTTTAATCGAGATTTTAAAGATCTTGGAGTTCGGTACTTCACTTTATGCTTCAGATGATAAAAAATCAATTTTATCAACAACTCTTCCTTACTATCAATAACAATGTCTTTGGATAATTCATGGTCTAACATAGACGGCTCTCCAAATGGGGAATGGACATTAACATTGTGATAAAGTTACTCTGGGGACCATCCAACCGCTACTCGAATGAGTAGCAGTTTCATACAAATCATCCTCTGCAATAGCAACACCTCCAGCAAGGTCAAGCAGTGGAACATAGTAAATCACTATACTCTTCTAGTTGCGTAGAATATGTTCATCTACACCACCTATCATGTTTGAGGGGGACACAACATTGTTGTCGCTATCTTCACCATCTTCCGAGACAAGCATATCATCTTTTTTAATAATGAAATCCGAATCGTCATTGCTATCATCTATCTCATCTAGGAAATCGTCATTACCATAAGGATTATCGTTGTTGTTCACCTCATTATTGAAAGCATCAGAATATTGCTCGTCGGCAGCACTTTCATCATTCCCAGCAGAATCCTCATCGAACCCACTATCCACACCCCACGACTTGTTCGAGAGAATAACGTAAGGCACCAGGTTGATTTGATTCTATTATTATAGTGTCAGACTCTACATAGTTGACATTGTTCGTTGGATGAGATGTTGATGGTTCACTATGTAAGTTCATAAAAGATGGATACACAGTACCATATGGATAGAGAGGTGGGCTCTGAGCAGCAACTAAATTCATAAACCCACCTTTTTGTCCAAGCCATACGAAGGGTACATTGGTATAATCGGTTGATTATACGGACTTATACTATCTTTCGGTTGTAGTGTAACATATATAGTAGCACATTTCGGAGATCTAATTCACAAGAGATTTGCCATTTCTCCCAATCTCCGTTATCATCGGCCACTAAAAAGTGAAATTGATAGTTACACATGTTCGAACAATGTCATGAACTCTGTTTATAAAAGCTTCATATGATGAGGTCCTAAAACACCAAAAAAATCATCTCTGTCTCCCTATTTTTGTACACATTCTCATCCCAAAAGCCGTTGTGAATAATTCGCACTTTATCAACGTCCATTTGAGGAAAAAAAGTCTTAATACAAATAGTTTCTTGAACTTTTTTTCCCTGAAATGTGTTTCTGGAAAAAATATATGAGTTCAAGAAGCCGTTTCTGGGAATCCAAGAAATGATTTTTGGTTCATGATAGCCCAACAAACGATTTCTGGGAGTTCAAAAGACAATTTTTGGGAGCTCGAGAAATGATTTTTTGGATCTCAAGAAATAATTTTTTGGAGCCCAAGAACGGTTTGTGGGAGCTCAAGAAACGATTTCTGAGAACCCAAGAACGATTTATGATATTTCAAGAAACGATTTCTTTGAGCCCAAGAACGTTTCTGGGAGCTCAAGAAACGATTTCTGAGAACACAAGAACGGTTTTTAGGAGCTCAAGAAACGATTTCTTGGAGCTCTAAGACACAATTTGTGGGAGCTCAAGAAACCGCTTCTGTGAGCTCAAGAAACAATTTCTTGGAGCCCAAGAACGGTTTCTAGGAGCTCAAGAAACGATTCTAGGAGCTCAAGAAACGATTTCTCAGAGCTCAAAAACAGTTTCGAGAAGCTTAAGAAATCATTTCTGGTAAACTTCAGAAATATTGATTTTTTTTCCAAAAAAATATATAGTTCAAGAAAATGGTTCTAGAAAACTCAATATTTATGGGAGCTCATAAATGGTCTTTAGAACAAAACTAAATGTTTTCAAAAAATGATTTATATAACATATTCAGAAAAAATAACAAAATTAGGTTTGCAAATTTTTTGATATGAATTTGCAAAAGGTTTACGTACCTTTATTTTCAAAGGGATTCACTTGGTGTTGATGGAAATGATTTTTGGAAGAAGGTAAATTTTTTTATATGAATTTTGGGAAGATGTATTAATATTTTTTCTTTTACAGTGGGGGAATGGAGCCGATGGAGATGATGAGTGAGAAATAGGAAGATGTGTATTAATTGGTAGTTAAAACATTTAATAAGGGTAAAATTGTTATTTTACCCCCTAAAATGGCTAGTTTTTATTTTTTCCCCTAACATGGCTACTATTCATTTTTTGCTTTAAAAAAGGATCAAACAACTGGGCACTGTTTTCACAAGCCAAAATGGCTATACTTTATTGTTTTCAAAAAGTTGGCCAAATTTCAATTTTTCTTTCTTTCAATGGCCAAATAGGGGCATTACCACCTAAATTATTTCATCAGCCACAGCAGACCTTTGAGTGGTGTGAAAATAGTTGTTACCTTTCCACAATTCTCATAGTACCAAATGTATTGTCACTCCCCATGAATGTGTTAGGGCTTTTTCAAGGCACCCGCATCAATGAATGTCTTTCCACAACCTTCACAACTAACTACAAAGGAAAAGGACTTTCGTGGTTGGCTCTTCAGGCTCAACAACATACCCAGTATATTCCCAACAAGTTGGGGTCTGGGGGGTCAGTTGTACGCAGACCTTACCCTTGTAATTATACAAGGAGGCTGTTTCCGTAGCGACCCAAGGTGCATTGCGCCGTTTGATATATTTTTTTTTTCTAGAAACTTCACTAATAGAAGAAGCACTAGAATTTAATTGAACCATTTTGATTTAGTCCATTATTAGCACTATGCCAGGAGAATTGTCAACAATGACTCTTCCAGCTCCATTTGCAATGGACAACCTCTTCAGGCTCAAGTTCTATTAATTTTAGGTTCATTTGATTTCTCTTCCAAAGCATTCAGCGTGGCCTCTGAAAAGCATAGTAACAAATTTTTAGTTTCAAATTTTAGCCTCCAGCTCATACTCGAGTAGAATTTGCTAATGTTCAAATGTCCAACAACTAAAGATAAAGACAACATATTAATTATTTCACATTGATGACCAAATTATTTAGTTTTCAAACAAAACATTCTCCACGAACCAAAAAGACGCAATACTCAAAACACTTAGACATAAAATACATCAGAAACACTTGACGTGAACCGGGCACCAAGGGTTGAAGTATTAATGTGATGAATGCAAAAGTTGATACACACCTAAAGAAAAAATAAATTTAGGAACCAAATATCATAAAAGCATGTTACGCTTCAGACACAGACAAAATTGATGTGATAATATGTCTACTCTGAAATCTGAATAGTCTACTAATTAAAAGCCTCACAAGAAAAAATATTGCAAAAAGTAATAACTAACTCTATTCTTCGCCAAGTAGTAGTTGGTTTTAGAGATGTTTCACCTCCATCAATTGACATAAATATACAGAAAGAGACTACTGAGATTAACACATTCATGACATGGACTTTCTCCTCATAACTCTGAGTTATGCACAAAAGAAAAATCAATATCTCTATTGCATTAGACAAAAAAGGTTATGTTTCATTACCTGTTTGGTCAACTCCTCTTTTAAGGGTATAGGGTAGCACCTGCAAGGAGATAGAAACCAACCCATTCAACTTAACTTAAAAGTCTCATATCATTTCCTACTCTGATTACAGGACATCCATAACTTCTAGTGTACCTAATTCTAGATTAAACTCAACAGTCTACTACAGATAATTAGTTCTGTACGCCTATCCTCCAGATTTAGGGTATGTATGCATAAAGGCGGTTTGGAAAAAGAAATGCACACCCAACCACTGTTTTACATAAATCTAAAAGTCCAATAAATAACTAAACAATCCTTCCAAGACTTGAGACTGAAGTCAACAAGGTTTATACCACATATATAACATGGAATCACAGATCATTCTATGGAATATTCTATCACTAAAAACCTCAGAAGAGTAACAAATGGTTTAAATATATTACCAGACAAACACCTGTAATGAAAATAAAATTGGGAGATAGAAATTATAATACCAACCGTTAACCCATTTCAGAACAAGGCACTTCCCACCTATCAAAATATAACCAATGAATGTACTCAAAAGGATTGCATTAATAACCACAACATATGAATGAAATTTCCACGCGTCCCTAAAGCATTCACTGCAAACCCCTTCTTTGAACAGCAAAGTTTAAACTAGATTCGAATTAAATTTAATAAAAGCCAATTACAGGGCACCAAAAGGGATTACCCTGGCTAATATCTCAGTCCAATCAAATCCATATTCTTCAAAGTAGACTTAAAAGAAAAAATAAAAATAAAAATCTACGTCTTATCCTTCTCATAACTGATCAATTAACAATTCAACCCTTTTCAACTAACTATAATTTTACTCTGTTTGGTTCAATCTTCTGTGGGGGGGAGGAGATGAGATTTTCCCCTCTAATTCATGTGCGGCGGAAAACTGGCTCCCCTCCATTTTTGGGGGAATTTGGAGGGGAAGAAAAAGTTTACTATTAATTGGACTTACATACCCTTTTCAACTAACTATAATTGCAAAATTACCTTATATAAATAAAACCAAACCCTCATTTTCAGAGAAAGGAGTCCAGAAGAAGAAGCCAGCGGCGGGAGTTGAGAGGGAGTGAGGTATTGCGCAACAACCAAATAATTTGGTAAAATTTTCATTCTTGATTCTTCTTGATGTATTATTGTTATTTAATATTTCGAGCTGATATATATGTGCCTGGATTTATGTGTGTGTGGCTTATTCCTCTTTGTTGTGGTAGAGACCAAATAAATTTTGTAAAATTTTTACTCTTGATTCTTTTATCCTAGATGTATTGTTGTTATTTAATATTTCGAGCTGATATATATGTGCCTAAATTTATGTGTGTGTGGCTAATTCCTTTTTGTTGTGGTAGAGACTAATTCTGAGTTCCTAATCCAAACTGTATGAGCCAAGACAGAATACAAACATGAGTAAAACAAAATAGTAATTATACTAGGTGCATGTATTGTGTTTTCACATTCGATGCCATATGAGGATTTTTCATCAAACACCACGAAATATATAAATGAGAGCAGTCAATTTCCACATTGTTTTCATGAGTGGCAGAATCTTAAGAAATCAAAATAGGCATTTATATCATCACTTATAGTATATCCATAGTTATTCTAGTTTTGATGTAATCCAAAGATAATATATATTATACGAATGAGAGCATACTGTATTCTGTGTTTTTTGGGTATAAAACATGATTGAGGATTATTGTCACTGAATTATTGTTAAACATGTAAGAATAAGAGAAAGGTGGGAGTGAGTTAGAGGGTGGATGGGAGTTAATGGTAAGGAAAAATCCCACATGCCTTTTATGTTCATTTGAATTACAATGTTTAAATAACTCTATTTTAAAATTTACATTATGTGAGAAAACTTGCCAACTTGCTAGGCCCTTCGTGCCATATGTCATGAAAAAGTCCATTTATTTTTGTCATTTTGTTTTGTCTCATAAGATTTAGTATTATTGGTCTTGAAGATTTTCCTTTTGTCATTTGTTTTGTCTCCTAGGATTTAGTATTATTGGTCTTTAAAATTCTTGGCCTCATGTGAATTTTGAATGCTCAAATACCATTGATTTGTTTGAGTTACAATTTTAGATTGTCTGTAACATGGATCTAAGGATTCCAAAAATCTAAAAATTAAAAATCGAAGATAATTGCATTAGTCTAAAAAATATTTATACTTTGCAATGATGTTAAGTTTCATAGGCTTGGACTGGAGTGCTTATCTCATCTAATTTTATCTTTCAGTAACCAATGCTATTTTATTTATCTTTATGTGGTGGTGCATAAGTGACTTATATACATAATATCACATCACGTCTTATGGTCAGTATATTATTTTTGTTTTATGTTGTTCTAGTATGAGTTTAAAATAGGAACATTGTCTTGAAAGCTAACTTTTTGTCTATGTAGTTGTAATAAGTATGGATAACTTTGAAGAAAGATGGTACGATTTTCATCGGAGAGTTGTGGCCCAACTAATATGCATAATTGCATTTTATTATTGCATTAAAGCGTCCTCTAAGAAAAAGGTTACTTATAGCATGAGTTCCAAGAGAGAAAAGACGCGCCAAGAAATACTTTACAGGATTACTACTAATAAAGATAGTAAGAATATTACTAGAATGAGTCCAAGAGCTTTCATGAGCTTATGTGCTATGTTAGAAAGAGAGGGTGGGCTAAAACCAACGCGATGGTCAAGCGTGGAAGAACAAGTTGCCAAAACATTATATATATTAACGCATAAAGCAAAAAATCGAGAGGTGAACTTTTGGTTTCGCCGTTCTGGTGAAACGATTAGTCGACATTTCCATCAAGTATTGAGGGCTATAATTGAGTGTGAAGATAAATTACTTGTACAACCTAATGGTTCAACCGTGCCAGCCGAAATTCATAACAGTAGTAGGTTCTACCCTTATTTTAAGGTAATTATTGTCATTAATCAATAAATTTAGTAAACTTTGTGTTTATTATTTATTAATTAATACTAATATAAAATGTCAGGATTGTGTTGGTGCTATTGATGGAACTCATATACGTGCAAAGGTATCTAAAATAGATGCTCCTCGTTATCGTGGGAGAAAGGAATTTCCAACACAAAATGTGTTAGCTGCTTGTACATTCGATTTAAGATTCACATATGTGCTTCCTGGATGGGAAGGCACTGCCTCTGATTCAAGAATTATAAAAAATGCATTAAGGAGGGAAGCTAGGCTAAAAATTCCTGAAGGTAATTGGAGTTGTAATATCAAAATGTATTTCATATAACTTTATCTATTATGAAACAACAATTTCTCTTCTTAAAAATTATAACATTTTGTTATAATTATAGGAAAATATTATCTTGTGGATGCTGGCTTCATGTTAACGAGTGGACTAATTACACCTTATAGAGGAGTTCGCTATCATTTGAAAGAATATTCGGCAAAAAATCCACCACGAACTTTTAAGGAATTGTTCAATCTTCGTCATGCATCCTTACGGAATGCAATTGAAAGAGCCTTTGGCGTACTGAAAAAGCGTTTCGAAATATTATCTTCGGGTGTAGAACCTAATTTTGGAGTTAAAGCGCAGAAACTCATTATTGTTGCGTGTTGCATTCTTCATAATTTTCTAATGAGTGTGGACCCTAATGAAGAACTTATCGCTGAGGTAGATGATGAACTTGCAAGACAAAATCCAATTGAAGAGGATAGTTATGTTCTTGATCTGATAGCGAAGAGGCTGCTCGAGGAGAGTTTATAAGGGATTGTATAGCACATGAGATGTGGTTAGATTATGAACTTGATCATTCATAATGTACGGTTTGCACAATTTTAGTGGTTTTGTTTTGTTAGTTGACTTGAATGCATTGTCTTTATTATTTATTTATTTGAACTTGATTAGTTTTTATTTATATGAGATGTTTGGAGTCATGAATTGTTACCTTTTGAGGTTATAATTGTTGACATTTAAGTTTTTGGTGTAAATTCTAATGTGCATGTCTCATTTGTTTTAAACTTTGTAGAATGGGTCCCAGGAAGTCTTCATGTCCAACTATCTCTGGGAAAGAGAACTTAACTTGGACAAGAAGTATGGATGATGCTCTCGTTGATGCTTTTGTTAATGAGCATAATTGTGGTAATAAAGTTAATGGTACTTTCACTAGTACTGCATATGAGAACATTGTGAAAGAGCTTAGTGCCTTGTTTGACAAAAAGATTGACAAGGAGAAAGTAAAAAATCGATGGAAAACTTTGAAGAGAAATTTTTCAGAAGTCTATGATGTTTTTAGAAGTGGAATGAGTGGGTTTGCTTGGAATTCAACTACAAAACTATGGGATGCAGAGCCACAAGTTTGGGATGCTTTGATTGAGGTTGTAGTAATTAATGTTTTATTTATATCATTCCTATTATCATGTTTGTCTGCTTGTTATTTAGTTATATAACATATTTTTTATGACTTTTTTTACTCACAGGCAAAACCAAAGGTAGCAGCAATAAGATTTACTCCATTTCCAAATTATGAGAAAATGGTGCTTTTATATGGAAATGATAGAGCAACGGGTGAAGATGCGGAGACTGCATTTGAGATGAGAAAGAGGCGAGCTTCATCTACTGAGAATCTATTTACCACAACAATCGATGAGGTTGACAACCTTGTATCTCAAAATGAAGTTACTTTGGAGAATATTGGCGATTCTATTGACGTGGATAATGATATCTTTAGTTTTTCTACTCAACAACCTTCTATGGGAGGAAACAGTGGAGCAACTAGTAAGAAAAGAAAGAAGGAAGATGCAATGAAGGATAAAGCGTCCGAGTTTGAGATTATTAAAGGAGCAATTGATAATGTCGCAAATGCACTACGAGAAGGAAATGAACTATTCAAAGACATGTACTGCCATAAAGTTCCCCCAATTTCCGGCAAAGAAACATGGACTTTACTCAAGGAATGCGGGTTTGATAATAACTTATTGACGGACATCTATTGTTTTCTTATGGGTGACATCGACAAGCTTCGATGTGTTGTTCAATGTCCGCCCGAAGCTCGTAAGGATGTTATCATGAGAATGATGTTTGGCCCCTCCAATCAACCATTGTGAGCAAAAAGATGTTGTTATGTGGTTTCACATGTTTTGGAAATTTGAAACTGTAAGTTGTCATTATGGTGCAAAAAACTATCACTTTTGTATGTTTTGTTAGAACTACTTATGTAAAATAGCTTTTGTGTACGTTGATGCACTTATGGCCGTATGGATGTTTGTAGGATTTTATTATACTTTTGCTATGTTTATGTATGGTATTTTGTACTTATATATTATAAACTTTATATGATGAAATGTGATTTGCAATGTTTCATTGATTGGTGATACAGTTGCAAAGAAAAATTAAATAATTTGAATCTCGTAAAAAATATGGCATCATATTTTTGTCCTTACTTCTTTGATGTTGGTTATTAGCAAGACTCAATTTATAGCAAATGAGGGATATTGGCAAGAGTGGTTACTTGAGTTATGTACAAACATAATGTACCATAATAAATAAGGGTATATTTGTCAATATAATTTTATTTTCTCTCCCCTTACTTTTTAAACCAAACAAGGTTTACCATTTTCCTTCCCCTCCCCTCATATAAAATCCCTCCAAACAAGGTAAACTTATTTTCCATCACTTTCCCTCCCCTCCCCTCCCCTCTATTAAAATCCCTCCCCTCCCTTTCCCTCCTTTGAACCAAACAATTTTTCTTTCTTTCAATGGCCAAATAGGGGCATTACCACCTAAATTATTGCATCAGCCGCAGCAGACCTTTGAGTGGTGTGAAAATAGTTGTTACCTTTCCACAATTCTCATAGTACCAAATGTATTGTCTCTCCCCATGAATGTGTGAGTGCTTTTTCAAGGCACCCGCATCAATGAATGTCTTTCCACAACCTTCACAACGAACTACAAAGGAAAAGGACTTTCGTGGTTAGCTCTTCAGGCTCAACAATATACCCAGTATATTTACAACAAGTTGCCCAACAAGTTGGGGTCTGGGGGGTCAGTTGTACGCAGACCTTACCCTTATAATTATACAAGGAGGTTGTTTCCGTAGCGACCCAAGGTGCATTGCGCCGTTTGATATATTTTTTTTTTCTAGA